TCACATTGATTGATTTGCGAATGTTGAATCATTTCTGCATACCAGGGATAAATCCCACTTGGTCTGAGTGGCCGATCTTTCTGATGTGTTGTTGGATTCAATTGAATAGAAATTTGTTGAGGATTTTTGCATCTATGTTTATCAGGGAAATTAGTCTGTAATTCTCTTTCTCTGTTTCATCCTTTTTCAGTTTTAGGAATTAAGATGATACTGGCTTTGTAGAAAGAATTTGGGAGGATTCTCTCTTTCTGAATTGTTTTGGATAACTTGAGAAGAATTGGAGTTAGTTCTTTAAATGTCTGGTAGAATTCAGCAGTGAATCCATCCTGTCCTGGGCTTTTCTTTGTTGGGAGGGCCATTATTACTGATTCAATTTGTGTCTTTTCATTACGGGTCTGTTTAGGTTTTCTGTGCCTTCATGGCTTGATTTAGGAAGGCTGTATGTGTGTAGAAATCTGTTCATTTCTTCTAGGTTTCCCAGTTTGTTGGCTAACAGCTTCTGGTAGTAAGTTTTGATCATTCTTTTTATTTCTGTGGTAGCTGTTGTTACATTGCCTTTTTCATCCCTAATTTTATTGATTTGGGTCTCCTCTCTTCTTTTTTTGGTTGGTTGAGCCAATGGTGTGTCAATTTTGTTTATTTTTTTATTTTTTATTTTTTTTGTTTTAGCTGTTCTGTGGTTGTACTAGTCGTTTTTTGGCAGTGGGTAGAGAGATATCGCATCTACCAGTTTATTCTCCAAATGCCTCCATGACAGTCTTAGACTGGGTCAGTTGGGTGTCCATGTGCATGGCAAGAACACAGCAGTGAGCACCATCACTATGTTTCCCAGGTTCTGTACCAATAGGAAGCTGGGATTAGGAGTCAAAACCAGACACTCTGATGTGGGACATGGTGGGTATCCCAAAAAGTATCTTAATCACTAAGCCAAATGCCCACCTTTATTTTCTTAATAGTAGAGACATTACAAGAAGGTAGGTTGGTTTCATTCAACTTCAGTTTTTACTCCCAGGAATATGGAGATAATCCAGGATTATTCTTTTGTTATGCCAGATTATCCGATTCTTTTTTCAGGTGACTTTTGCCAAAATGAGAAGAATCAGACTCCAGACTCAAGCTTGTTTATCCTTTTGTTGAGGTACCCTTACAGTATTTTTCACATGAATAGGAAATTGACACTCCCCCTCTTCCTGCCTTTAGAAATATAGTTTTTAAATCTTTAATAGTTCACAAGTGTAGTTCTTAAGTTCCATAGATCCCCTTAGTATATTACCTTGATAAAAAAAAAAAATCACCGAATTCTAAGAAACAATAGAGAGTAAGAAAGTATTGAGGTTAAAGAAAGTTGGACTGATGTTATTTGAGAACTTAAATCACAGGAATTGATGGTGGGCCTTTATAATTCAGTGCCACACTTGTGAGTTAAACTGCTTCAGAGAGGGCACTCTGCGAATGGGAGAAGGGAACTAGAAAAGTGCAAGCAGGCCTTTTCTTTTGTTTTAAATACAACAGAACACAAAGGTCATTTCAAAATTGGTAAGCCAAACTGGCTTTGTTGATATTTTCCCTCCTTTTTTTTTCCCCTCTCTCCAGTCATTAATAAAATTCTAACATGGTTTTAAAGTGCTTGATAGAAATATTTAAATATGAATTGGACTTCTTTAGTTTTCCTAGTTCTATCATCTAGTTCTATCTCTGAGAGTAGATATTTTTATTTTCATAAAACTAGAACTAAAAATGTGTGTACATATAATTTTGTTTAAGACATTTCCTTTTTGTAAATATCTTCCATGCAATTTAAAATCTTTAGATTGTATTAGAGAACTCTGAACTTATATGATAATTTTACTTGTAAAGTCTACATCTTGGAAAAATTTGCTAGTACTGATTTTCCAACTATTCAAAACTATTTCTGAGATTTTTTGTTTCCTTCAGGTGGTACTGATGTAAAAGCATTTGGTTATTTCCCTTTTCTGCCACAGGGTGGTGTACTCCTCCTACTAACTGAAATTCTGTTTAGTGACTTCAACAGCTTGATCAAACCCATCTAAGAATGCTGGAATGCTATAAAAGTCTTTTTGGGCAGACTTTATGACAGCAGATCGTGTTTATAGTGGCATCCAATCTTATTTGAAGGGGATTTAAGCTTTTTTTTTTTTTTTACCAATTTTTTGCATTATTATTAATTAAAACAATTACTTGTAAATAATTCTAGACTGAGATATTGCAAGACTATATAAGAAACATCCATGCATCCTTTATCTAGATTTACCTATTAAGATTTCATCTGTTTTACACACCTTCTTGTTACAGATGACAGTACTTCAAAAAAGTTCACGGAAACATGGAATTAAAAGTTGACTTTGGTATCGCTTCTCAGCCTTTCGGCTAAGATCAAGCGTAAATCTTTCTTTGGTATAAAAATCTTTGAAACCCATGTAAACAGGGGTCTTCAAAAAGTTTATGGAAAATGCGTGTTATGCAAAAATAAAGATATTTTTGCTCCAAAATAAACATCTTTTAATTACATTTTCCTTGAATTTTTTCAAGTACCCTTAGTTTTTCTAAATGGTAGTCTGTTACATATTCACTGGTATCAACTTCAGGAAATTTAACATTGATGCCATGCTTTTATGCAGTCTTTTGATACATTAATGTTGTTTATAACATTTCCCCCTCCAGTTCAACACTCAAATTAGTTATAGTATTTAATTTTGACTCTTTGGAGTTTTTTTCTCTATTAACCTGGAGTATTTCCACAGCCTTTTGTCTTTTATAACATTGTCATTGAACTTCCTCCTCTTAGTAGAACTTTACTCAGTTCATTGTGGCTTTGATGATTGTCATAATACAGGTTATAAGTCAGGATATATTGGTTATATATATCACTTGAAGTATTATACACATATGTCTTATTTTTATTGGTGATGTCACATGTGTTTTGTTGAAGTCTATTTTTGTAAATTTAGATGTATGTGCTTAGAAGAAGAGTTAAGTGTCATTCAGGATGTGTAAAAGCATACATTTTCCTTAATGGGAAGATAGTTGGAAATAGATTAATATTCCTAGTTGGTAAAATCTAACTTAAGTGGAAGGTTTTAGGTAGTACATTCTACCTTTATTCCTTGCAAAGCTCTTAATGTAGTATATTGGCATTTATTCTGTTCTGTTCTGGGATTGCCAAGGAGAATTGTTACAGTCCTTCTTGGGATATGTCAGTCATTCTGTTTATTTTATTTTTATGTTTATTTTTTATTTATTTATTTATTTTTGACAGGCAGAGTAGACAGTGAGTGAGAGAGACAGAGAGAAAGGTCTTCCTTCTTGCCGTTGGTTCACCCTCCAATGGCCGCCACGGCTGGCGCGCTGCAGCCGGCGCATCGCGCTGCTCCGAAGCCAGGAGCCAGGTGCTTCTCCAGGTCTCCCATGGGGTGCAGGGCCCAAGGACTTGGGCCATCCTCCACTGCACTCCCTGGCCATAGCAGAGAGCTGGCCTGGAAGAGGGGCAACCGGGACAGAATCCGGCACCCTGACCGGGACTGGAACCTGGTGTGCCGGCGCTGCAAGGCAGAGGATTAGCCTAGTGAGCCGGCTCAGTCATTCTGTTTAAAGAGTAAAGTCTGAGTGGATGATATTAGACAAGAAAGAAGTATAAAGACCTGAGATCTCAATTACAAGCCTCAGATGTCATAGTTAATATCACAATTTAAATTTTTGTAGTATGTTTGAGTTTGGCTTGTATTAATGAACGATTAATACAACACAAATGCAAAGTGCCAAATATATAGACTGGAAAGGATGTTGTAAACTTGGCAAAGAATTGATCCTAACTTTTTTGTTTAAAAGTTTATTAATTGAAAGGCAGAGTGAGAGAAAGAGAGAAATAGAGCAAGCGAGATCTTCCATCTGCTGGTTCATTCCTCAAGTGTCTGCAACAGCCAAAACCAGGGCAGTCAGGAGCCAGGAGCTTCTTCTGGGTCTCCCATATGGGTGCAGGGCTCAAGCACTGGGACCATCCTTCACTGCTTTCCCAGGTCATCAGCAGGGAGCTGGATCAGAAGTGGAGCAACCAGGACTTAAACTGGTGCCCATATAGGATGCTGATGCCTCAAGCAGTGGTTTTACCCTCAATGCTATGTTGCCAGCCCTAAGTTGTTTTTTTTTTTAATCCTTGGGTTATTTGATTAATTTGGTACTGTTAATTAAGTAGAAATAATTCTGTTAGTAAAAGGAATTTCTAAGTATTACTTCCAGCATGTTATGGTAGTCTTAGGATGCATATAAAAATTCTCAAGCTAATAGATACATATTTTGAAGAAAATGATTACCCATCTTGAGGAAAATTATCATTTGAATACTTACAATTAATTTTTTAACTTTTTGCTGGAATGTTTTTACAAGTTGTATTAAGATGGTATAATGCTGTCTTAAGAAAGACAGAATCAATTTAGTTTGTAGCTTTATTGCAGAACATAGCAAATTGAAACTTTTTTGCATGATCTTACATTTAATCCATTTACTTTGATTATATATGTTATTAGATATAAAATATGTATTTTCCACATACTGTAGACATCAAAGTATTTGAAGTATGAAATTAGATGAATATAAAGTAATATGAATGCTAAAATGCCCATTAAGTTTAACAGTTGAACTTGGAAAATTATTGGAGACTGCTGTGAATTGTGATTTCTCCCATCAGCTATCCTGCAGAGTGTTGGAAGGGAGAAAAAATTACATCCATTTTCAATACTTCCAAGTTTGCCTTTTGATTTTGCAAATAAATAGACTGCTTCAACTACTGGTTATAGTTTGTAGCTGCTGCTTCTGGCACTTGTTTACACGTTTCTGAGTTTCCAGGATGCACTAAATGATATCCCGGGGGCTTATAAGAAGTCAGTGTGTCTTTCTAGGAGCATAGCCTAATTCCAGGAACATGGACAGTAATATGTGATTGGATATAGTTTCACAATTTTTTAAAATTTATTTTCATTCCACAGGCAAGATACCTGTATGGATTCTGCTTCATCCCTGAAAGAGAACAAGCAATCTGAGGGTTTGGAATTAAAACAAGGTATGAATCAAGTACTTTTGCATAACATTTGTCTGAAGATTAGAAGCATTTTATCAGTAATAAATTTTCAGTGTTTCAAGTAGCCCCATTTTACAGATAGGGAAACAGTAATTTACTTGGTCTATGATCAAAAGAGGAAATAATACATTCTTTATTTCATAGCTACTTTTGCTACTGTAGTGTCTCTACCTTAACTATGTGTAGTTAGTTGCAAATGTCACCAGAAAATTCTTTTTATTTTAAAGATTTACATATTTATTTGAAAGTCAGAGTTAAACAGAGAGAAGAGAGGCAGAGAGAGAGAGAGAGAGGTCTTCCATCTGCTGGTTCACTCCTCAATTGGCTGCAATGACCAGAGCTGTGCCGATCTGAAGCCAGGAGCCAGGAGCTTCTTCCAGGTCTCCTATGTGGGTACAGGGGCCCAAGGACTTGGGGCATCTTCTACTGCTTTCCCAGGCCATAGCAGAGGGTTGGATTGGAAGTAGAGCAGCCAGATGTCGAACCCATATGGGATGCAGGGCATTAACCCCCTGAGCCACAGTTCTGGCCCCCAGAAAATTCGTATCTTGAATAATTTTAATTTAATAACTTCTGTAATATATCCTCAACTGCAAGATGTTGGGACTAGTGTAACTTTGAGTTGTTTGTGGAAAAAATGATGTTTTATAGGATGACATTTGTTCCTTATTTATTGCTTTCTTTAAACCAGTACTTTTTGACATTACCAACTATCACAAATAAAGTGAAATTTATTCAAGCCAAGTAGATTAATGAGGTTAATCTTTTTTAAAAATTAGTCTTAGATCTTTTTTTTAAAGATTTATTTATTTATTGAAAGAGTTACTCAGAGAGAGAAGAAGAGGCAGAGAGAGAGAGAGAAGTCTTCCATCCACTGTTTCACTTCTTAGTTGGCTGTGTTAGAGAGAGAGAGAGAGGTCTTCCATCCGCTGTTTCACCTCTTAGTTGGCTGCATTGTCTGGAGCTGAGCTGATCCAAAGCCAGGAGCTAGGAGCTTCTTCCGAATCTCCCACACTGGTGCAGGGGCCCAAGGACTTGGGCCATTTTCCATTGCTTTCCTGGGTGCATTAGCAGGGAGCTGGATCAAAAGTGGAGCAGTGAGGACTCAAACCAGCACCCATATTGGATGCCAACACTGCAAGTGGCAGCTTTACCCACTATGCCACAGTGCCAGCCCCTTAGGTCATATATTTTTTTTAATTTTAAGATTATTTTTATTTATTTGAAAGGCAGAGTAAGAGCAAGAGACAGGGAGAGAGAGGGAGAGAAAAAACCAGAGAGATCCTCCATTCACTGCTTCAGTCCCCAAATGGCTTCAATAGGCAAGGCTGTGCCAGGCCAAAGCCAGGAGCCACGAGCTTCTTTCTAGTCTCCCGTGTGGGTTCAGGGGCCCAAGTACTGGGGCCAGTCTCCGCTGCTTTCACAGGTGCATTTGCGGGGAGCTGGATCGGAAGTGGAGCAGTCAGGTCTCCAAATGGTGCCCATGTTTGATACTAGCCCCAGGCTAACCTTCTAAATGTTTTTTGTTTCTTTGTTTGCTGATCTTTTAAATATTTTTTGTTTGGTTGGTTTCTTCTCATCTCTAGTAGGAACAGTTAAAAGTAAAGTAAGTTTTTATTAGTTATTCAAATGCCATATCACCTTGTACTTTTTTCCTGGTAAAATTAATGCAAAGCAATGAGCATCAGCCAAGAAATTGGGTTGTCTATTATGTAAGTACTTAATCTCTTATGACATAAAATAGTTTCTCTAAAACTTAAATCATAGGAATTTATTTGGTTGGTAATTTAATTGGTAGAGAGAATCAGGTCAAGATTTTATTTAGGGAGCCGGCGCCGCAGCTCACTAGGCTAATCCTCCGCCTTGCGGCTCCAGCACACCGGGTTCTAGTCCCGGTCAGGGCGCCGGATTCTTTCCCGGTTGCCCCTCTTCCAGGCCAGCTCTCTGCTGTGGCCTGGGAGTGCAGTGGAGGATGGCCCAAGTGCTTGGGCCCTGCACCCACATGGGAGACCAGGAGAAGTACCTGGCTCCTGCCTTCGGATCAGTGCGGTGCGCCAGCTGCAGCGCGCCAGCCACGGTGGCCATTGGAGGGTGAACCAAGGGCAAAAGGAAGACCTTTCTCTCTGTCTCTCTCTCTCACTGTCCACTCTGCCTGTCAAAAAAAATAAAAAAAAGATTTTAAAGATTTATTTACTTATTTGAAAGGCAAAGTTACAGAGAGGCAGAGGCAGAGAATCATTCGCTGGTTCACTCCCCAAGTGGCCACAGTGTCTGGAGCTGGGCTGATCCAAAACCAGGAGACTGGAGCTTCTTCCCATGTGGGTGCAGGGCCCTAGGACTTGGGCCATCTTTTTCTGCTTTCCCAGGCACATTAGCAGGAAGCTAGATCAGAAGTGGAGCCCATATGGGAAGCCCACACTGCAGGTGGTGGCTTTACCTGCTAAGCCACAGTGCCAGCCCATTTTGTTTGTGTTTTACTATGGTCTGTTACTGATACCTAATAAAGTGAAAAATGACATTGGGTAATTAATTATGTGATTTAATCTGTAACAAAATCTAGATTGTAGTTCTAACTTATGTACCAGGGAGTTTATGCTACTTCTGATTGATAGTTTTGAGAATTCTCAGTGCTTTTCAGAAGTCCTGTTTGTTAGTTTTGTAAATAGCCAAACAAAATTATGTTTTTGTAGTGTGACTACTTGTGGGTACTCCCACATAAACTGAGATTCATAGGAATGAAGACTTAGATGGACAAATTATCCAGTGGTCCCTACTAAGAAAAGATGTTTTTCTGTTCTCATGTGTGGGCACCAAGAGTATTTTGGAACATCCTTCCTACTGACAACAGTCTATTTTGCTGCAATTCTTTTATGATAACTTCAGTCATTTGAAGACCAGTCTTGGTTGGGTAGAGTTAGCCAATCTCAGTAATTTATCAGTAATAAATTTTATAAATATCAGAGTAGCCTGATGTCTCAAAATTCAGATCTTTTAAAAGCTTAGGAGCCTATAGGTCAGACATAAATTCTTACTTGGCATCAGAAACATCAAAAGCATATTGATGGTATCAAGCAAAGCTGAGAAAGCATATGATCAAAGCACAGTATGATATAACTGATGATGTGACTAAATGTGTAGGTAGTGGGTAAATTAAGTTTATTGTTTTTTTAAAGGGAAATATGTAAAGTTTTTAAGAAAAATGTCCATTAAATTACCAGTAAAAGTTTGTTGTATAGTGGGATAAACATGAATTATCTATAAAATTTATATCTATAGACCATCTTCCAGATAAATATTAGTATAGCTGAAATCTGAACAGATAGTAACTTATGTGGAGTTACTGAAGACACTGTGGCTTATCAGAAAATAGAAATCTTGCTAAGTTCAATGAAGGTTATTTCCTTTTAATAAATGAATTCAGATTCTCCATTTGTAATATGCAAAAGTTTAAAAAATTTAATACTGTGTCTCTAACTTTTCTTGCATAGCTAGCAATTCTCACTCAAAATTAGCTAAATAAAAACAGAATATAATGCTCCTTGTGAATGCTTTGTCATTTTAATTGCTGGACCATTTAAGAAATTTCATGGAATCTTATTTAGTACTAAAGTAACCCTTTATTCACCAGATCAAAATTTTAAAGAAATTTTTAGTTTTCTCTTTGCTCTTTCTGAATAGACTGAATCATAGTATTTATACTGGCATGTGATATGACAAGTTGTTTAAGTTACATTTTCAGGTTTTTTTAACTTCTAAAAAACTCATGTGTTTCTTGAGTAGTAAATATTAACTACAAAATAAACTGAAATTAACATTTCTTTGTCTAGTACTAGTTGTATTATGTTGATGGGGAATATCATTTATGAAACTGGCAGCACTGAAGATGAATATCATGAAGATAGTACATTAACTTCCATTGCATTTTAACAATGTACTGATACCCAAAGAACTACCCTCACTGTGAATTGTTAACTGTAAACGTAGTCTGTGGATTGATCCGTCAGTACTTAGGTAAAATAGAAACTCTTCTGTTAGAAATAGTTTGTTAAATTATTCATTTCTAACCACAAGGCATCTGTATAAAAACAAATTATTTATAGTTTTACACTTTAGAACAGCTGTGTGAATGTTCATGCTCACATGTACAAGTTTGAGATTTTGTGTTAATTTCCTGGAGGATTGGGTGGACAATTGGCCAAATGGTTGAGATGCTGGTCGAGATGCCTAAATCCTGTTACTAGAGTGATAGGCTTTGAATCCCAACTCAGCTCGCAAATCCAGCTTCCTGTTAATGAACACTGTGGGAGGCTAACAATGACTCCAGTGGTTAGGTCCTTGCCACCCATGTAGGAGAACCAGGTTGAATCTGACTCCTGCCATTGCTAATATTTGGGAAGTAAGTCAGCAGATAGGATCTCTTTCATTCTTTCTTTCTTAAATAAAAATGAACAGATTTATAAATTTTCTTAAAATTAGTCATTTGTGCTATAGTTAAAAATATACAAACTTATTTGTTGAGGGTATTTAATGTGTAGAAAATATTTTTTAAAAATTAAGCAAATCTTTGATGTTAATTACCTTCCTATAGATTTATTTGTAAATAAGTAAATCCAGCAATATTAAAATATTTTAAGTTTTGCTTTAAAATTTATAACTGGGCAGATGTTTAGTTTTTCAAATTATTATAACTTCAAAAATGAAGTTTTTAAATTTATTTTATTTATTTGAGTGACAGAGAGGGAGAGACAGGGAGAGAAAGAGATCTTCATTCACTGGTTCACTCCCCAAATGGCAACAAGAGCTGGAGGCCATGCCAGGCTGAAGCCAGGAACCTGGATCTCTATGCAGTTCTACCACAGGGGTGGCAGGGGCCCAAGTATTTGGGCCATCATCCACTGCTTTTCCAGGTGCGTTAGTCAGGAAGCTTTGTCAGAAGTGTGGTTAGGGTGCTGGCATCACAGGTGGCAGTCTAACTTGTCGTG